GGACCACATTCCCACCCCCCATTACTACAGGTAGTCCTCGACTTACAACAGTTCATTTAATCACAGTTCAAAGTTACAATGGTACTGAAAAAGTGACTTATAACCACTTTTCACACTTATGACCGTTGCAGCATTCCCAGGGTCACATGATTTACATTTGGATGCTTGACAATTGACTCACATTTATGTCATTTGCAGTGTCCCACGGTCATATAATCCCCTTTTACAACCTTCTGCTAAGCCAAGCCAATGGGGAAAACAGCTTCACTTAACAACCCTGCTACTAATTTAAGAACTGCAGTGGTTCACTTAACAAGCGTGGTAAGAACAGTCATAAAATGGGGCAAAACTCACTTAACAAAATTCTCATTTAGCACATAAATTTTGGGCTCAATTGTGGTCATAAGCTGAGGATTACCTGTATTATTCTTCCTCTGCAGAAAACAATATACAGTGGCCTGCTTGTTGTGTCCTCTATTTCTCCATTTCAATTACACGTTTCCCTTCCTCTTTTAAAAGACTCTTCCATCTCGATCCCATAAGGAGGTGCGTGTAAGTCTCACAGAACCTTTTTTCAGCAAAGGTGTTAAACGGTACCAGATTGCAAAATTGGACCACCTTTTTCTCTGGGGAGAAGGCTGCTCTCCGTTATTTTCTATCGGGGTCGAGGTCAAAACTGATGTACCCCACCACCGGTACCTAGCAATTGCTCCTAGCCGGGCCTTAATGGAGTGACCTCGGGCCATAAACGCGGCAACCCACTAACGCGCATTCTCTCCGAGCCCGACTGGCGCGCAGGCGCGCAGCACCGATCTCCGCGGAGACGCGGCTCCTAGCTGAAAGAGCAGATCTCCCCCGCTGCGCTTTTCGCCGCAGGACAGGGAGATTTCTCCCTTCGGCCCCCGCGCTCCTAGGCACGCGGGTTCAACGTGCTGGCGTTACTTTCAAGGGGGCAGGTGGCCGGGGGGAGATTCGGCAGGCAGCCTCAGCAGGAAGCGACTCCCACCGCGACTGTCTCTGGCCAAATGGTTTCTCCCGATCCCAGGCCGGGAGGAGATCCCAGGATGAAAGCGTAACTCGGCAGCTGCTCTCTGATTCTCCCAAGCGCTAGCCCCTTCCCGGTCCCGATTTCGGCCCCAAACTGGGAGAGAGAAAAGCTAGGCGTCCTGGAAAGAAACAGGTGTTGCGCGTGGCTCATTTCCTCCGAGAGCTGTGGGGACACAAAGAAAGCGAGAGGGAGGAGGCCGGGCGAATTGGGGACGGGCAGGTACTTTGACCAAGCTGTTAATATAGCGAGGCAAATGGATCCGCTGCCGTTTCCTCGTTATAAAATTGCAACACTAAGTATTTTATTTCCACATTCACCAGGCGCCCCGACCCGTTCCGTGGCGGACAAAACTGCAACCAGATAGAGACAACCTAGCGGAAGAGAAAGCTTTACCTTATTTATTGAAGCAGAGACGCACGTAGATTGCTGGTGGAACCCGCAACCTTTCAACTCGCGGTGTTTGGAAATCGCCTGTGGGGTGTGTGTGTGTGTGTGTGTGTGTGTGAGAGAGAGAGTGTATGAGGGAGGGAGGGAAGGAGAGAGAGACTGCAGTGTGTTCTAATTCGTACCGTGTTGCGTTGAAGGAATCAAACAGGTAAAGGTGAACTAGGGCATCTCGAGAGACATAGCTGAGCAACCTCCAAACGTCCGAAGTAGCTCCGATTCAAGATTCTGCTGCCACCTCTTGCTCCCAATACCTGCCTCTATTCTAGAGGTTTAAGGTGGTTATAGAATTCCTACCCTGGCAAGTTTGGCGGGTGTCTGGAGTCTTATACAGTGGAGCCCTTTCTCCCTCCCCCCCCCCCTGCTGAGGCACAGAAGCTAAAGGTGGACACTGAGACAGTGTCGAGAAACGGCTGGATTCCTTTTTTTATCTCGTGTTTCATCTGGAACCAACACCGCACTTCTTTTGGTGAAATGCTGCCTAGCAAAGTTATATTTCTGGTCGTACCTTCGGTTCCCCTCCGATTGTTTTCGTGTTTTAATTTCCTACAAGTGTGACAGTATGCTAGGATTGTATTGGTGTCTCCCCCCCCACACACACACTCCGGTTCCTGGTGCGACAAAAAAGGGCTGCTATTCACTCTGGAATCACCATAAAGCAAATACAATATTCACTTTGAGAGGATCGTTGTTTAGGTTTCACGGAAAAGTGCAAAAACAGACACCCCCCTCCTCTTGAAAACACAAAATAGAAAATTGTTCCTGCCTGTTCTCTCCTCCTACGTCTCCTAATCCTTTGAGTCTCTTCAAAGTGTCAAAAGATAAATATAGTTAACAGGGGCAAGAAGGCAATAAAGTCACCGAGGGGTGAAATACAGCAAAATATCTCTTTAGAGCAAATATCTGAACTCTTCAAGTGCTTTAGTGTTCTCAAGAGTTTGGCGGAGGAGCGGATCGAAATGAGATCCGGTAAACGGTTCAGTGAAAAGGTCCACCCAAAGTTAATGGTGAGTGTGAGAAATTGGGAGAACTTGTTGGGTGAGTGCTCGTGCCCTTAAGGACGGGGTCGGCTAGTGGTTTCTTCCCGACTTCCACACGCCCCGGGTGGGACCTGACCTACCCCACGCTTTCCCTACCCCACCGCCACTCTCCTTTCTCCCACCCCGTCGCGCTCTCTCCAGAAGACTAGCGAAAAGCCCCCCCCGAGATACTTCACAGAGTTAGGAAATCAGAACCTCCCGTAATAGACTCTTGAAGTCGACTTTATTTTCACTCCCTAAACTGTTGGAAAGTATTTAAACTTAAGCAGAAACAGCTGGATTGCTGGCACTGCTTTTTGTTGCTGCGAAAGTCGACTTTGTAATTCAGAACTGGCGTTTTTAGAAGGGAAGATGTCTCGGTTGCTTTTTTTTTTTTAAAAAAAAAACATCCTGCAAGTAGACTCATCAATCCTCCCCGCCTCTACCCGCTTCGCGGAAGTGTGTTAAAATTACATGTACCGATTGACTGACAATGGGACTTGGTTTTGTATTTTAATGTATTCGATCGCAGAGAGTTAAGTATATTATAGACTCTACAGATATTGTTATAAAACTATTGCCTGAACACTAGTATACTTCTATGAGCTCTTTGGTTTTCATTCCAACCCCCATCAAAGCATAGGGGCGTCAGAAAATGAAAAGTGTGGTGGAGTACAAAACTTACTCTATCCCTTGGGAGAGAGAGAGATCCCCTCTGATTTTAAGCAGTAAAGCAGAGTAGAACAGGACTCACTTTAAGCTTCTTCTAGATCCAAATCAAAATGATTCGGGGCAACTGGATTGTTGGCGGGGATAGATCGTGATCGCAACTTCTGTACGGAAGCATACAAATACTTCTTTTGGTCACATCTAGCATTTCCAGAAGTAAGGAACACGTCGGGAAAACCTATGGCTTTCCAAGACTCTGAAGGGCCTTAGGGTTAGACAAATGTATAAGTAAGTATAGGTAACCTTTCTTTGATCTCACCAGAATTTACGGAAGGGGGGGGGGCAAGGATAATTGTTGTTTATGGAAGTTTCTTCTAAGTAGCCCTAAGCGCTAAAGTCAGAGACTTCGAGTGGAAGGGCCAACATTCTTTTCGGTGGGAAAGTAGCTTTTCTCTCTGGACAGAAGTTATGAACTACTACAGTACACTATGTGATATTTCTGCATCACACACTCAGCAGTATCTTTCGCTCATCTCCCCGCGCGTTTGTGCTTCTCACAGAAAATATGGTGAAGTCAACGTTCCCCGAGTTTGGCTCAAAACGTCGCAGTAAAAGGAAAAAATAGTTGCATTTCTCCACTCCTCTGCAGCATGCCAGACGAAGGGGGAAATTGCACACCAGCGGGAAAGCGCCGGGGCTGGTAGGTTTCGCAGAGCGCACCGAAGTGGAGCCTGGGAGGCGCTCTTCCTAGAGATTTGCATAGATCCAAGACTGTCGGAGAAAGTCCCGGTCTAGTTGGATCTATGGGGAACAGTTCGGAGGAGACGAGTCTTCCCGGAACCACTAGAAAAGAGACGGGGGAGGGCGCTCTGTGCGGCTGCTTCGACAGTTCAACTCATGATGTGCATGGACGTCCACCCACCCGCGCCTCCTTTTCAGGAAAGTCGACGGGCTGGAGCGAGGGAGAGCAGTTTCGGAACCTCGGTTATTCTGGCCCTGCCCCCCCACCACCCTGAAGAAGGACGTTAGCCGAGGGAGAAGAACGAAAATTACATGGTCGGCATGTCTCCTCCCTCCGCTTTTTGCAACCAACTCGGTCCCACCGTGCTCCAGAACCAATGCTGAAGATCGAGCTCCCAGTGTGTCAATGCCCAGATCCTGCGAATCCCAGGATCTTGGCCTCCTCCTCTTTCCGAGATTAATCGGGCACGGGCACCTCCTCTCCTCGACCTCCTATTATTCCGCCTCCTTATTACTTGTAGGGGGATTTTCTTTCCAGGCTCGGGGAGGGGGTGGTCGTTGTTTATTTAGCTGGAGTAAGGAAGTCGATTAAAAAAGAAAGAAAAGCTTCGCCTGTCTCCAGGCTCTATAAATGCCATTGATTTATTCCCCCCACACATACACACGAGGGGAGGGGATTGAAATTGGGCTAGCGGATTGGAGGAGTGCGAGGAGCAAGGCTGGGTATGGAGGAGGAGGAGGGGTGGGGAGGGGGCTCCCGCTCCCCTCCCCCTGCCTCCCCTTGCTTCCCCCACCAGACAGCTGAAGACCCCCTCCGTCTCGCTTTCTCCCCGCAGCCGCTCCGGAGGTCCCCCTCCCAGCTCCCCCTGCTGGGGACGCAGCCTCCCTGCCCCCCTCCGGGATCCCTGCTCCTTTGGCTCCACCCCTTTGTGATTGAAACGCCGATCACGTCGCGAGGAGGCGGGGGCGGTGGGAAGGGAAGGCTGGGGAAGAGCCGAGCCGAGTAGGATCCGAGCCAGGGCTTCGGCAAGAGCGGCCTCTCCCTCGGACGAGCGGCTGGGCGGGCGGGCGGGCGGGCGAGCAGGCAGGCAGGCTAAGCCAGCAACAAGTGCGCAGGCAGGGAGGCAGGCGAGGCGAGGCGAGGGAGGGCGAAAGCTGACGTCAGCGAGCGGAGTATTATGGTCTGGGCTGTGCTGGCTGCCGCCACTGCCGCCGCCGCCGCCGCCGCCGCCGCTTTTCTGCTGCCAGCGGCCGAGTAAACATGGAGCTCTCCGCCGTGGGCGAGAGGGTCTTCGCGGCCGAGGCCTTGCTCAAAAGACGCATCCGGAAAGTAGGTGCCCCGGCGCCGCCTGGCAGCGCAGTCTCGGCTTTGTGCGCGCGGCACCGAACCCGCCAGGCCCGCCCGAGGCCGCAGGCAGGCAGGCGGAGGAGCGAGGCTCCGCACGGCTCCCTCCTTTCTGCAGCAGCGCTTTGCTGCCTGCCGCTCCCCCTTTCGGCTCGCGCGGCGCAGATTGCCACCATCTCGAGCGTCGCGGACCCTTCCCCCCACCCACCCACCCCCCGCCTTAAATGCATGCACGTTTTGGCTGCTGCGGCTATCTTTTGCTGCACGCAGCTCTGCATGCATATTGGATCCCGGGTTGCAGCACGCCCCCTTTTCATGCATGGATATTTTTTTTTCCGCCTTTGCAGCTTGCCTTTGCATTTTCGTGGCATGCTTTGGGCTGCTTGCTTTTTTGTGTTTTTTGTTTTTTTTTTAATTGACGCATGCGGTCGGGAACACCTTTGATTTTTAGAGCGAGTACATTGTAACGCCGTTTATTTAGTACGCTCTCCTGAAATGCGGGCTCATTTGTTTCTTCTTGACACAACTGCAGGGTCGTATGGAATATCTGGTGAAATGGAAAGGCTGGTCTCAGAAGTAAGTAGACCTCAGTGCAGTCTAATGTAGCAAAAAATGCAGTAGGACTGGAGGTAATGCTTTGTTGAGTAGACAGAGGGACATTATCCCCCCCCCCCAGAAAGCTACCTTCCACTGCTGTGTTTTGGAAGATAAGGAGGGGGAAATTATTTTCTTTTTCTTTCTCTTTTTTTCCCTCCCTCTCTGTTTGACTTTCTTTTACTTTTTCCTAGGTACAGCACCTGGGAACCAGAGGAAAACATTCTAGATGCCCGCCTGCTGGCTGCTTTTGAGGAAAGGTATGTCTGTTTGAGGAAACCTACATCTTTATTAGAGCCATAACACTGTGTTTCAGAGCACCATTAAATCATTCTGTGTCCTTACAATGCCTGCATTTATTTTTTTAAAAAACCACATTTAGGGAAAGAGAAATGGAACTTTATGGTCCTAAGAAACGTGGCCCCAAACCCAAAACCTTCCTTTTAAAGGTAAGAAAAACAAATACAAAGAGCCATGGTTTTTTTTTGAGTTTCTGCTGTGATCATAATAGAAAATGCAACTTTTTTTTCTTAATTAAAAGGCCACATTTTGAAGAACCAGCTTCTTTTCTGCTCTGTCTCTGGATTGTGTGTGTGGATGTGTGTGTTTGAGTGCGGGGAGGGGGTTCACTCTGCCTTTAAGCTGTGTTGACAACATTGTTGGAGCACAGGACTAAAGAAGTGTAGTTGCTTTCACTCTTTTACAGGCCCAGGCCAAAGCCAAAGCCAAAACATATGAATTCCGTAGTGACTCTGCTAGGGGCCTCCGAGTACCTTATCCTGGACGATCTCCCCAGGAACTGGGCTCTACTTCCCGGGCTAGAGAAGGACTGAGACAAATTCCGCTACCTCCTCAAAGCAGCCCCACCACCTCTGTCCCCAACATGCCTCGAATGGAGCCCATCCAGGAAAACAGGGTTGGGGCAGAGGAAGACCGATCTGAAGGCGCCTTTAAAAAGCGAGGTCCAAAGCCCAGGAAAGACCTACCTGAAATGGCAGAGGTTGCCTCAAAGCGGAAATCAATGGAGCCTGGTGACAAGATGGTGGTGGACTACCTAAAAGCCAGAAAATTGGAAGAGGCAGCAAACTCTGGGACAGCAAAATTCAGTTCAGGACACAGTGTTATCCAGTTAGCCAGGAGACGGGAGCCTGAGTTACCCAGTGCTGTTCCCAACCCAAGGGCAGAAGCTGGCATGAAGCTGGGTGCACCTGAGACTTACCCTCCTAGACTGACCAAGCACAGGGCGGATTTCCTGGATTCCAAAGGGCAAAGTGGTTTGGACTTGGGGGCTTCTAAGATCTTGCACAGCTCTGCGAACCAAGGCAGCTTATATCGAGATGGCCTAGGGACGCAGGCTGGCAGGCCTTCCCTCATCGCCCGCATTCCTGTCTCCCGGATCCTGGGTGACCCAGAAGAGGAACCTTGGAGCCCATCTCTCAACAATTTGGAGAAAGTAGTAGTGACTGATGTGACATCCAATTTTTTGACAGTAACCATCAAGGAGAGCAGCACAGACCAAGGGTTCTTTAAAGAAAAGCGGTGAATTCCTCCAGAGAAGAAAAGTCATTGAAAAGCTTTGGATAGAGGTCGGCTGAATTGGGATTTTTTAAAAAAAAAACTTTTATTTTTAAACTTTTTTGGACAGGCTTGCTTTTCAAATATCTGTCCTTAATTCTGTTCTTTATCTCTCCCTCCCCACCCCAACCTTGCCACCAATTTCAGTTTTGTTTGAAAAAATTATCTCTAGAGTTATATTTTCTATTAGATGTAAATATGTTATTTAAAGAAAAATACATATATATATATCTATATACATACATATAAATATATATATTTCAACTCTTAAGTTGTTTGTTGCTTTTTTTTAATTTAAGGCCTTTGAAGAAGGATATTAAAACAGAAAAGTGATGCATCTCTTGCCTCAACTGCAAGAGCTGGTGTAGATAATGAATGATCCTGTTAGTCAATCATAACACTTTGATTTAATTTTTTTCCAATTATTTCTCCTTCCTTCCCACAAATATGATGTTGACTGAAAATATGGAGATATTATATTCATCTGGGGACTGAAAAAGCTCCAGGGTTTTTTTTTTAATTGCTATACTATAAGGTGTTGCTTTGTACAATCAAGTGTGCTGTATACACAACTGTTCTGGCTGGACAGCTGAAGTAAGCACTTGACTTTACAGTATTGTCTTGCTTTGTTTTGCTCCAGTTGAAAAAAAAAGTTGTTGTTCTAAAAAGTGTCCATTAAAAACAGTTGAAATATGTTTTAGCAAAGAAGTATTAACTTGAATACCTTTTCTTGCAAGGGAGAAGGGGATGTGTAAGATTTTTTTTAAAGTGTAGCTGCTGTTATGCACTTTAATATGACTGTCATAGAGGGAAAGTGGGAGTAGTAGAGGAAATTGAGCTGATAGTTTAATTTTGATTTTTTTCCCCCTCCTGATCTTTTCCCTGCTCACTCCAATAAGAAAATCTGTTTACATTCCTTACATGCCAGAAAGTTGGGAGGGAAGCATCTGACTGGTCATATTCTCAGTGTTCCTGCTGTTATTTTGAAAGTGGATTTTCCAACTTCCCCCAGTGTTTGTAGCTCCTTTATAGGCTATTAGATTAATGTGTGGCATAAAATCATGATGTTCTTCATTACATTCTCAATTTCTGATTAAGGATACACTGACAACTTCCCGTGTAATGGAGCTGGGAAAGATCAGTTTCAGAGTTAGCTGTTTTTAAAGCTGAATTTCTTTCATTTTTTTTAGAAAGAAGCATCTGTTCTGATCCCCCTCCCCCCCAGTTTCTAAGCCAAGTGATTAAAAAAATGCTTGTCCACTTTAAGCAAACATTTAAACCATTTTTCTGCTCCCTTGAAGATGAACTCTGCTTAACTTTTCAAGAAAGGGTTTTGGTTGTGCTTTATTCTGTAAAGCTCCCGATTAAGAGGGAACCTGCAGAGGAAATTGGGGGGGAGGGTCCTTTCCTTGGCTTTTAGCAGGTGCTGTGGTATCCCAATAGATATTGATTTAAGCATCTTTTGTTGGTTCAAAAAGCACAAATCTGCCTCCCAGCCCCTAAGGGCCTAGCAAAGGGATGTGTTGACTTCTCTGTTCTTTTTCTGAATGGCTGATTCACTGGGCCCTTTTAACACACTTTCTAATTGGGGGAGTGAACAGGGCATGAAACTCTATGTGTGGCCTAATGAGAAAAGACACAGAGAAAATCAGGTGAATGTTGCAAGAAGCAGAAAAGCCCAGGTAATTTCTGGGCTGTGTTAGAAATAATGTTTCTTTGCCCACCTATCTCCTCCTGCTTATTGGAGGTGGGATTTCTCCAACAAAATCAATACAGGCATTTTCTTTAGATTATGCTGAAGAAGTAAGCCAGCTTCATTTTTATTTCTCTTCTCCCTCCCTTTCTTATTTAAAGGAAAACTGATATTTTAAATTCCAGTCAGCTCAAAGCATTTATGTAGCTCTGCAAATCTGTTGAGTTCAACCAGGGGTGAGGAAGCATGTCAACATATGTGTCTGTTGACAGTGATTCCATATAGTTTAGAGCTGGAGTGGGGAAGAGGGGAGAGTGCCTAGGAGATATATTTCCTGGGTAGAAACAATCTTAAGTGCTCTCTCTACTTCCTTGGGTGTCAAAGGTGGTATATGCCCCCTGTGATGTGGGTTTCTAGAGGCACACACATGGGTATATAAAAGCTAGACCGACATGTGAGTGTATTTGTCTATGTACATAGTTACATTTATTGAATGTATGTGGGTGTGAGTTATTTAATTCTCTTTTAAGATTTGTAAAAGGAAAAACAAACATTATTGAACTGGCCTCACAGTCTCATAAGTGAAGCTTAAGTAGGTGTCTTCTGCAAATGTGGAATGTTTAATACAGTACCTGCTTTTTTGTGAATTGAAATATATATAATTCTTTGTAAATAGAGACTTGGCTTTGTTTCTTTTGTTGCTCTCTGAGGTAAAAGACTCCTCGTGATTCACACTTCTGGGGGTCGTTCTGGGGGTCACCCTATCTTGCTGTGCTAAGAGGCTTGTGGGAAAAGAGCACATAGCTGCATCTTGGCTCATCCAACAGTTCCTCTGATGTGAAGCTGGGCCCATTTCCCAAGTGAGGTGCTAAAATTGGGGAAAGATGGTGCTACCCCCTTGCCCTAACCAGCTGCTCAACACACAACCGAAAGGGGAGCCTTTTTGAGGCACTTCATGCTTGACCAAAATTCAGGTAGTGTACACCAGGAATCTGACCTTGGTAGCTTTCCTACTGGATGGCTGAGAAACTGAAATGAAGAACCCTTCCCTGGGAATATCATTATGTTGCCAGCCTCTATCATTTTTGCTTGGTAATGGATGTCCTTGGGCTCCAAGCTTCTTTCTCTTGGGCCATTCATCAAATGAGGTCCTAAGTAGTTGAAGCTTAAAAGGGGGAGCAGTATCTGTCACCAAGTTATGGATGGAAGCTGGATCTAACAAGCGTAATCTGGTGGCTCAGTGGTTAGAATGCAGTACTGCAGACTAACTCTACACACAGCCTGGAGTTCGATCCTGGTGGGCTCAAAGTTGACTCAACCTTCCATCCTTCCGAGTTCGGTAAAATGAGGACCCAGATTGTTGGGGGCCATAGGCTGATTCTGTAAACAACTTAGAGAGGGCTGTAAAGCACTGTGAAGTGGTGTATAAGTCTAAGCGCTATTGCTATTGCAGTTACTATAATTGAGCACGAATCAATCTATTTTCAGATGGTTAATTAGTTTTACAATGTTGCTAATCTGAGTGGGAGGCCAGCCCTGCCAGGGACTTTACAGAAATTCAGTTACTCCTATTGCCTTCAAGTGAACTCAACAGCCTTTGTATCTTTTACCTGGGAAATAATTAGTAAAACAATTTAATAGAACGACCCAAGCAGAGGGTTGGCAGGCTCCTTACGGAATTGCGATGATCCAGAACCCCAAATTTCACTAATAAAAGCCATAAAGCAAAGGGCCTTTATGGCTTCGATTCCATGTCTTCCTTTGCGATCTTTGAGATCAAACTAAAAGGCCAGGAGAGGAAAACAGGCAGATTTGAATTTAACTCAGATAAAATACAGGGCTCCTTTCCCCTTTTCGGTTGGGCCGGCAGAGGTAGCCTACCCGCGGCTTCTTTGTGATCAGAAATCCTAATCCCGGAGAGAAATTCTTGGAAGTGTCAACAACGAAAACCACGTTTCATGGTTTTTTAAAATATAGCCTTCCCTCTTTCTCATCTAGCTTTAACACCTTTACGAATATAACCCTTCGGAAGTAATAATTTGCCGGGGCCTTCGTGGCCACGCACTTTCTCAGGTCTTTGCAGTTTTGCGTTGCGTGGCAGCGCGGAGAGTTTGGAGACCCGTAAAACTGGCGAGTCCGGGAAGCCTGCGAGATCCAGGAGCGACGGAGGCGTTCTGGGAGACAAGTTAGCGCGCCCGCGCCCTTCGTGGGAAGGGGGACCACGTAGGGCGCCCCGCGATTAGAAACAACGCCAATCCTCGACCTGAAAGGTGGCTGAGCGGCTGGTTTCGCACAATCGCTAAGCTTGGTTCTAAAAGGCGGGTTTGCGGGTCATAACCCCTGATTTAAGGTTCGTCTGGCACGCCCCCCCCCCAAAAAAAACCACAATTCGGATAGAAACCGAAAGGTCGCGTTCACGCAAAGAGCCAAGGCAAGGGCATGCCCACCAGAAAGGGAAGCCCCAGCTCCATTTCAACTTACCCGAAGGCGCAACGCACCCTAGTCTCAGAGGCCAAGTACGTTGCCTGACCTTCCCAGGCGCTAGGCGAAGAGTCAGTGGGGCACATTCTCTTAATCTGGAGTAAATCGGGTTCAGCCGCAGCTAGTTGACTACAGGAGTGGCAACAGCGACCGCCCCCGCGTTTCCAACGTCGGCCACGGACTTCCCAGCGAAAAGGGGGGTCTTAACGATTCAATCGTCGATTTAGTCCCCGTCTTCAACGAATACCGCGGAAGGCCGCAATCTTGGACTAGCGAGCATCAAGACTCCTCCCCATTTATCGCAAAGGGGCTCTCCGCACCCCGCGCGGGGAATTGGACTTTTAACTCCTTGTTGCCGTCCCTGCTCCAGTCGGGGATCCTAAAGATCGACCCCCAGCGAATCTCTTTTCTCTCGCGGATTAACACGCCAAGGAGGAGGGCAAGGCTTCGGGTCTGTGTGTGTGTGTGGGGGGGGGAGGCAGATTTTTTTCTTTCTTTCTTTTTTGAAACGGGCACCTCTCCCTTCTTCGGATTCTGCGCCAACCTAATTATTCTGGCGCGTTTTCAGTCTGGTATGTGTACACGTGCGTGCGCGTGTGTCATCAAGTAGGCAATTAGCGAGTCCAGAAACACTGGTTGGGTGGGTGGGTGGGGTTGCTTCCCTCGCCTTGCAAAGCGCCGCGGGGTCCTGGAAGGGAAGAGCCGGCACTTGGAGCGGCGAGCCCAGAGTTTCTCTCCTCTTCCTCCTCCTCCTCCCTCCAGACCAGCAACGCGGGGGCAGAGCAGGAGGTTCCTCCCATCCCACTAGAGCAGTGTTTCCCAAACTTGACAATTTTAAGGCATGTGGACTTCAACTCCCAGAATTCCACAGCCAGCAACGCTGGCTGTGGAATTCTGGGAGTTGAAGTCCACATGCCTTAAAATTGTCAAGTTTGGGAAACGCTGCACTAGAGGAAGAGGTTGAAAAGAGCCTGGGCGGCGACTGGAGCCGGTGTTTCCAGTGCCTCCTGGACGGCTTGCCCCGATTTCGCCCCCCGACGTCCGGGGCGGCGGCTGCTGCTGCGAACGGGAGGAGGGCAAGGCGAAAGCTCTTTGGGAGACCCTAACTTTTGCACCCGCGCCCTTTTTTTCTTTTCCCCGAAGACAGCCGGCCAAACTGGCAAAACAGATCGCTGCCTGTTTACTAAGGAAGTTGCAGTCCGCTTACTCCCCACTCCCTAGGCGTTGCTTTACGGCCTCGGCGGGTAATTTCTAAGGCAGCCTTCCCCCAGATCTGTTGGTGGTGACGCTGGCTTAGCAATGCTGTGAGTTAAAAGTCTTAAAAACACGTCGCGTGATTTTTTCAAGCCGAGGAAGGCTGCTCTAAGAAGAGACTCGGCTTAAGGCAGCGAACTTAAAAAGCACCTTACGAGCTTTGCAAAAAGCCCGAACGCCCAAAATGTGTGCGTGGAACGTGCTTTGAATAGCGGTTGCTAGTTTACAGGTTCCTAAAAGGCGTCCTTACAATTGACATAAAGAATGGGGGAGGGGGGGGGCGGCTCGGCCCAGAGACGGAGCCTTAGTAAGCAGCTCCTCTTGTCTCCAGCAGGCAGGTTAAAACTCTTGCCCGGGAAAAGCAGCAGAAGTGGACTGTCAAATTAAGGGTGAGCGTGGCCGGTTTTAGTTGGCCCGGGTTGGGACGAGATCAGAATCTTTCCTCTCCTCTCCCCGACCTCATAGACGCCGCCTTCCCTAACCAAAGACAGGGAGACACCATCTCCTCCCCCCCCCTCCCCGCGCCGCCGCCCTTCGGGAGATCGAAGCTCGGCGATCCTGAATTTGAAGGCGAATGTTTTCAGGGTGATGGGCGCATCCTGGGAAGGGGAATCGCCGCTTCTCACAACCTTCACTCTACCCGCAAGCCTTTATATTCCCGCATACACGCGCCTCGCGATGACTAATGCCAGATATCCTAAGGTCCTCTCTCCCTACTGGGGAGCTGGGAGCGGCGCGGCTAAGCGGCCAGGCGCAAAGAGTAGTCAGCTGTCAAACCCCCCCCCCCCTGCTTAGACCAGTCCTGGCCAGTGATCCGTTGCCAACGGAAGTTTTACAGCCTGGTAGCGGATGAACTTTCTTAAGAGTTATTGGGAATGGGGAGCCCCTTGGTTACCGTTCAATAAAACGCTAGGCGGCCGGTCTCGAAAAACTTAACTGGCTCCGATCTACTTGATCCTTGGAATGGGAGACTACCAGGAAATTTCAGAATTATAGCTTAACCTGGGCAGGTTAGAAAAATGGATTGCCAAGAGATTTATTGGTGTGTTCATGAAGTCAAGAGAATAGCTTGGCCTCAACCAGTCTGCGCAGAAGATTGTACCCAGACAATGACTTACACTTCTTAGTATGTATGCGGCTGCCTTCGAAGCCAGCTTTCTTTTCCCCCCTCACCGTTTAACTTTTGGATTAAAAACATACCCCTTCCCACTCCAAGTGGGTCCCTTTGGTCTCTTTTGCACCAAGTCGAAAGTGGTGGCACTTTCTATCGACTTTCCAGACAGATTTGCTCTGGATTTAACAAGAAGGACAAATACATAAGAGGCAAGACATGAAATATCTGTTTGACTAAGAAGGAATGGAAAAGTAAGGAATGGCTGGAGAGACCGAGAAAGGGATGGACAGAAGCCCATCTTAAAGGAGACTCCTTAGAGGTAACAGGTAAAATCTGTCTAGGGGCAAATTAGACTCCACAAGATTTCATGAGCAGATCCATCCGATTTTCTTGGCAACAATAGGGAGGGGATCGTCCGTTTTTTTTTTAAATTGCCCTGTGGAACTGATGTGGGATTTCATGGTGACCTCCCATCCCGCTATGAACCAGGTTTGTTTCTGCTTTTCAGGATCAGTGAAGGTCTTAGAAGACAGGACCTCTGGGCAACTTCTCAAATAAATAAATAAATAAATAAATAAATAAATAAAAATGGGAAAAGAAAACCCAGCGTGGAGGCTCCAGGGAAATGGACCCTGGGCATGTTCTCTAGAGAATCCGCAAGGCAAATGAGGTCCTGACTGGCCAGCACTAAGGGAAGGCGAAAGCGATGCAACTCCCCGAAAACAGATGAAGTCAAAGGTGCGTCACTTGGGCCACCCCCAACTCCGTCTCGAAAGTTCCATCGGGCAGGGCCAGAGTTCAGCTGGTTAATCTGGAGAAAGTGAACCAATCAATCAAGAATAGAAAAGCGGCCCGGATCCTTGGAAAACAAGGAGCATGAGTCTGGCAACCAGGGCTGGCTTCGCTGGGTGTGGAGTCCCAGCGAAAGCTCTTCGCCACCCGACGTTAATATTTTCCAGAATGAGAAACTCCAAGCTCAGACGATCGCAGGCACGTTTATTCGTAAGCAACTATTCTTAGCTGTGGCTAAATATAGTTTGATTTGTGAGACTGTCCTTCAAATATGAACGGGCCACGGGATAACCGTTCACAGTTTACAACAGCCAACGACGATCGGTGCCCATTATCTTCTTAGCGACCGTTATGCTTGACGCTACTTCGCTCGGGTTTAATCTGAATGAATGAACCTGCCTAACTTTTGTAAAGCGAAGGCGTCCTTGCTGGGCAGTTCCTCCGCCAACCTAGTGAGCTTTTTTTCCTCGCTCTAAGGCAGGGGTTCGCAACCTTGGCAACTTTAAGACTTGTGGACTTCAACTCCCAGAATTCCTCAGCCAGCAAAGCTGGCTGAGGAATTCTGGGAGTTGAAGTCCACAAGTCTTAAAGTTGTCAAGGTTGAGAACCCCTGCTCTAAGGCCTTCGTTGGTTTTCAGGACATCCTTTCCTCCCTGCCGCCCTCTGTTTGCGCCCCGAGAGGGCTGTCCAGGATTCCCCCTAGAGAGGACTTAAAACAGCTTCAGCCTTTTTTTTAATTTAAAGGACGGCTGGATTGCGGCCAACGCCTGCCACGAAACAGCGACCCCCAGCTGTCAAAGGAGAAGTGAGCGATCAGGTTGTCCTAGTCAGTCCTGATAGCGCTTCCAAAATGATTACAGTTCTAATAGCGAAGGAACGGGGAGACACGAACCCCAAGTTTTGCTACGGACGAGGAGGATGACCCAGACAAAACCGCGCTTCCTCCAACCCGGCCGCTCTCCAGAGGTACCGCAATACAACTCCCAGAATCCCCGGGTCCCTCTGCTTAAGCTTGGAGTGTCCGACGCTAACGATCTGCAGTCACTGGCTGAGATCACACCCAACTGCCGTAAAGCCCGGAGGTGCAGACTCCAGGTCCTTGAAGGAAGCGACGGAGCCGGGTTGGCAAAACCTTCCACGCGAGCGACGCGTCATTGTGTCCCTGGGGCTTAGTAAGCAAATCTTCTGGGAGATTCCAAAGCACCCAGAACCGTCCCAGCTCCTTGCGCAACGTGATTCTCCCTGACGGAAAACGGGGAAAGGAAGAAGAGGCGGAGGAAAGGATTGTGCTGCATCCTGTGCCGATGCCCACCCAGGGGTAGTAGCACCCTGGGAAAAACTAAGTGGCTGCTGGACACGCTGTGACTATCGGAGCCTCAGGCAGCTGACTGCCATAAGCTGGGAGACTTCAGAAATCCCACATCGGGGTGTACCACCCTAAGCTGGCCACTAGGGGTGACCTGATGGCGGAGCCCTACTACCGTACCAGGAAGTCAGGCTGGACTGGACACACGCGACCGAAGGAAATCCTTCTAATGCCGATCTTAGCAAGGCAAGACTCGGGAAACTGCTGACGAAGCAGGGACTTTGCCTTTGGAGGAAAAGTGAAAAGCAGAACAAAGCTACTCCAGCTGGATTTATCAGTTCCGGATTTTAACTTTGCAGGAATGTTGCTCCATTGCACAGGAACATTTGAAGTCGATTAATCTAGCAGCATTTGAAGAGTCCTGGATTCAAGGCTTCATCACAGCATATTTTAAGTTAAAGGCTACAATGATAGTGATTTCTTTGCCATTCTAGTTATCAGGGTTCTTAATTTTGCTACTTACAGTGTAATCAGCCTTCCAGAATCCAGTTGCTGTTATACATTTTCCAGCCAAAATTAGCCATGAAAAAGAAACAGCCAAGCGTGTTAGAATAGGAAAATCCTTGTGGCAAGACGGGGGCCAAACAAATAAAAAAATTAAAAAATATTATTCTAAATAATTTGCACAGGAAAATGTACCGTTAAGGAACTGCTCTTGTATAGACAGCAAGGAACAGTTAGAAATTTAACTTCTTTACCAATCTCTAGCTTTGTTAAAGTAAAATAAGTCAATTAGATCAAGTCTTCATTAGCTTGACCAAAGTATGAACTATTCAAAAGGCCTGAGATAAAGTCTCTAAATGAAACAAGGCAAGTTTCATATTTCACTCCTCTGAACTTTTACACCCCATTCCTCCCCAGGGGATTATTTCCTTTTTATGGTGTAATTAAACAGTTGCTAATCCCAAGGGCAGGCTCCAAATACACCACAACATTGATAAGAATAAAGGAATAAAGATAAATACCTTGTGACATTAAAAATGCATTTTTAGATCTCATTAAAAATTTCTGATAGTGAAGTATTCTAATTCAATTTGTCTACTTTTAAGATTAATGCCATTTGCAAATTATAACAAAAAATACCACCATCTACGTAACCAGAGGTAAAATAATTGCTTGAAGCTTTTTTTCCCCACTGAGGATATTTGATAGTTCCTCATTTGCTGTACAAGGCCATACAACTTTCTGGAATATTTGTGAAAATTATCAGTTCAGTGCTGAAATGTGTCACACAACACCACAAAGAGAGGATAAAGCAAACTGCATAGAGAGCATCCCAATCCTATTACCATAGATTTTTTGGGGGAGAGGGGTTGTATTAAGGAGTACTCTGAAAATCCTTTAAGAGAACTATATGTTACTACATCAGTGATTATACTCTTTTAATAATTGCTCAAAATCTTCACATCTGCTGATTGAAGCCTCTAATGTTTCTTCTTCTCATTTACTACTTCTGAAGTCTGTATCAGCAGGTATTTTTATACTGGTAAAGTTAATATTCTGTAAGCTGAAATTATATACAGAAGCTTGGAAATAAAACCCATACAGTGCAGTGTGATTTTATTAAATAAACATGTATAAGATTGCACTGTCAGTAAAATATGTGTTATAAATGAATTACTATCTTAAGATTAGGTGTAGGAAAACAAGGTAATAGTAAAGAGAGTATCCAAATGAAGCAGAACAAGCCACAGTCAGTTAAGTTACAAAAATATTTATTGATACTAAAACAGAGAATTGAAAGTTATACAAAAACTGTCCAGCCATAATGTAGTCTAAAAGTTCTTTTAAGATGGGAAATAAATTAAAGAAATAAAACAAACAAGATAGTAATCTCAAGTCTAAACTAGAGTAAGTGGTAAGAAAAATGGGGAGATAGACATCACACAACAGAACCAAGCAAGCTACACAGCCAGGGTCAAACAAATAAACCCCAGTGCATCAGTGAACCCACAGTGAGATCAGTGGACAGACACTGCTGTCAGCCTTATTTAATATTCTGCCTGGAAAGTCTGTCCCACTCAAACAAAGAAGCTAAGCTTTCCCAGGGTAATAACATCCCCAACTTTTGTTCTCTTAGTATAAAAGCAAAGAAGCAGCTCCAGTTAAAGCAATTAGAAAATGTCATACAAGAACTATTTGGCTTTTTTAAAAAATGGAACATACAGTGGTTGATACACATTGCAAGAAACACTGAACCGATTCTTAGGAGTCTCTTGCAAAGGCATTTCGCTGAGCTTGGAACAGAATAGAGTGAATATTTATTGGAGTAGCAGAAACACTGTAATATATAAAGTAACTCTGTTCCCCTTTAGTTTTTGGTACTGCAGTTATTAATGTTAATCACAAGACTAAACTGAGCCCTTTTGCTCAGTGTAAACAGAGTAATTAAGTTACTCCAAAAGCAAAAATATTTACCTGATTAATGCAGTAACACAACAGTTATAAAAAGTTTTAAAAATGTGGAATAGTAGCAACAGAACTTTTAAAAACAATTTGTTACATAGATATAACATGCACAGAAGAGGAAGAGCAACAAGCCTAAGAAAAACATGTAAGGGTAGGCTTTGACTATTAAAAGGGGCAGTGATTATCATCAAGTTCAATTATCTACCCATTACTGATAAAATTGAGTCCTTAATTAGTGAACTCACATGCATCATCTGCTTATACAAGGTTTTGGAATTCAGTTGCATACCCAATATACAACTAAGGAAGAATATGCCAACTTGCTCATTCAGATAAGAGATTTAGGACTTTGGACTTTGAAACTGAAACAGCTGGTTAACCAAAAGGCACAGCATTTGAGCTTCTGAAGGAGAGCATTTCAGTTTTCCAAACAAGCTGGAGATTAGAAAGCTTGTTTTAAATGGAACTGACTGAAAACCAGAATTAAGAATCTGACATTGTAGACAACCCCCCCAAAGGAGGAATGCATCTCTGAGAGAGGAAATAGTTGCACATTACAGATAACAGTTGGAAAAAAATGAGTATTGAAAATAAACAGAAGCAGAAGCGACTTGCGAAACTTAAAGAACAACAAGACAACATTGCATGTAGGCTAACAGAAGCAGCAGTCCTGCAAGAGCAAAGTAATACAGGTGCATATGCATACATACATAGGCAGCATAGCAAGGACCTGAGAAATTGGACTGGGGACAACAGAACTTTGTGGGAGGAACTATTTCTGAAACCACCAAATTCTTCAAGTCCATAAGCAATATTAGCCATTATTTTAATGGAATTTAATGGGAAAAGATAGTAGCTTCTACAAGAAAGGCTGGGTTGGGTGGGTCTAAGAGAAAGCTGACTTCATTTAACTGAATTGCTGTGTATCCTCCTCTTCTAACTCTGCTCCAGAATCTTAGTTCTCCACAGAGACATCTACTTTGGCAGAATTATCAAAATATTGTCAACATGCATCCAGAACTAAAAGGCACATGATAGAAATTAAAAAGAATTTAGCCAAGGACAGCTCCCACAGGAAATGCACAAAAGAGCTGAGACAGCAGGCATTCTCATCTGAGTTCCTCAGATCCCTCACTGATACTATCCAAGTGGGATGTACCAATTACTACAAAGAGCACACTTTGTAACTTTGACATTATCTTCTAGGTCTACAATATCTAAATTTGGCAGATTTTACCAAAGGCATTTAAATGATCGACTAAGGCAGCCCCTTCAGTATTACACACTGACATCTTAAAGTAAGTGGACAGAAGCCCCTAGATCAGCAGTTCTCAACCTATGGGTTGCGACCCCATTTGGGGTCGAACGACCATTTTATGGGGGTCGCCAAACAACGCGATCTGCCATTTTTCCCCCTCAGGGGGCGCCGCCACGCATGCATGCCGCGCATGGGGGCGCCGCCGCACATGCGCGCCGCGTCCGTGTGACCGGGGGTCGCCGTATTAAAAGGTTGAGAACCACTGCCCTAGATAATGTTGGGCACTCTAAGGAGGTTAGTTGTTGAGGTGGGGAGACTTCCAGAAAAAAAGGGAAATGGGAATTGTGTAATCTGACTCCGAGGAATACACAACTTACAGAGTACTGCACTAATGGAGAGCAAGTGCGGAAAAGAGGGCACCTGATTAAAAGCACTGAATGAGAAAGCCAGACAAATCTACGATTCAGAACAAATGCCTTGTTTTCTTATGCTATTTTCAGGTGTTTATAATATAGCCACTGGGTGGTCTCTTTTACATTATAACAAGTCACATCCTCACAGACTAGCAAACAGAGATTTCTCCTCTGCCGTCTGATTTAAACAAAGAATATTGTTGGAATTAATAGGGTGAGTTGGAACCAATATGGAGAGCTGAGACCCCAGTCAGCTCTGGGCTAAACCAGGAAGGTTATGAAATTCTGAAAATGCTACCTGAATAGATTATATTAAGCCTGAAGCTTGAGGCATTCTATCTAGAGGCGGGCCCTTTGGAAAACCCTGGGTCAGCTTCTGTTACCTTATTCAGCAGCAGTACACATCAAGAGGAGTAGGCGTAAAGAACTAGGAGCACTGTTTGCAGAAGACTCATTCAGTGCACTTACAACCCGGCATATTAAATTTAAATTACAGCTCTATGGAAGCAAATCTCATGGACTTCCTTGGAACTGTTTTCTATGTGATTAAACTTTGGTGAAAAAGATAAGCTTCCACATCAATTTATTTTAAAAAAATCATACTAGCTAATATAAGCATGAGCAACACTTTATCCCTGATAAATTTGCCATCTTGCCTTTTCTTAGCTTCACAGCTCGTATGGCTGTAGCATAAAAGGATCAGCAATACAAAAGAGAAACTACAAGAAAGAGCAAGGAAAGTAGTAGGCTAAGCCAATGCTTCAAATGATCCGAAAACCTGGAAACCAATTTCACATTACGAAATACACACAACAAAGTAAACTGTGATCTTAACATACAGTTTTGAACAAAACCTTTGCATCGCTTTACCGTAGAATGGGTCTGATAAACAGTGATCCAACATTACATACTTTATGACTTTGAAAGATGCAAAAATACCCATTTCAATAAAATTCCCTATAATCAATTTAACATTCCCTGTTTCTACCGGTTTCTTTTTACTGAGTGTGCTATAAGTATGGGGACTTATCACAGAAGCGCACTGTTAGAACACAGTCAAATTCTGGCAGAGCTTGACTGTCAATTGACTTGACAGAGCTTAGTGCTGCCCAAACCTAGACCATGGCTTTTGACCAACAGGAAGCACCTGTTCTGAGAGAAATAACAGAAACCTAAACTGAATCATCACTTGACTTCAAAAAGCAGGTAGCCTAAATTAAATATAGGTTCAAGGATGTTTTCACTCCAGTTTATCCTCTCTGGTTTCCTACATTAGCTTCCCACTCAAGGTAATGATAAAGCCAGCCTTTGCTGGAGCAATAAAACAAAGAGAGGTTTCAATCATTTCTGCCCTGTAGCGATGCCCTGTAGCAGAATTTAATTGGGAGACAGGACATAGGTAGAGATCAAATAAAAGTAAGTGGCAGTTTGTATCACAATGTTATCTTGCCATCTGCAATATTTTTTTGTAGTTATTGCAGGTAAGAGTAAGTAGAAAGATATCACCAACAGAAGAGAATATTTGTACCTCAGGATCGGACTGTGGAGTCCTAGATGCTCTCTGAGCTTGGTTGTTTGCTTGCAGATGTTTCATTCTTTGACTACGTAACATCATCAGTGCTAGTGACTCTGGTGTTTGCCCCATGTTTTTATACAGTACACCAATTTGCCCTGCCAGTATTGATGGGGTGTGTGACCCCATACTCAGACAGCAAACACCATACTCACTAACACTGATGATGTTACGTAGTTTGGTAATGAAATGTCTGCAAGCAAACAATCAAACTCCCAACTCAAAAGAGCATCTAGGCCTACAAAAGATAACAATTGCATAGAAACTTCAAAAACCTGCTTTCTGATTCCAAAGATTCTCAACTCATTTTGAACAGCACCCATCAATAGTATTTCATCTCACATTATAAGGCATCTTATTCTTATAAAATCTCTACATCATCAAAATTTCTAATTTTGCTTTCTTCCCATTTCTTCTGTGTAAGCAACAGCATACAAAATGTGTATCTGTGTGCATGTGTACGTGAACACACTGGGGACTCACAACGGGTCTCAACCATATAAGCATATATAATTCCTCAGAACACATGGCTTATTTAAGCAATGGTTTACACATATCACATTTTACATGGAACTGGTTTCCATATAGAATTTTCCAATGTGTAAAAGCTTCCTGAATTACATATTCATGTGTACACTCATGTACACTCAGATGTTGAAAAGGAGACAGCATTCTCCTCTGAGTGACATCTGCTGACATTTGGCAAGTTGAAAAACATATTGTCTTCTCAAGTTCTTGAGAACATTGTTCCGCAGTTCTCCAAGGTTGATTTCCTGTATCTGCTGATATATTTGGCAGGTTGAAAAGCATACTTTTTTTTCAAGTTCTTGAGACACTGGTCCAAACAAGTGAATTGCTATTTCTGAAAGTTCTAGAGATCAATGCTTGACCTGAACCAAACTCACTTGATAGCTGTTAGTCCCAGCTCCAAACCAATGCTGTCTTATATATCATACCCTCTAGTTTCCAAAGCAAGTTGGAAGTATGTCTTACATACATTCCCTTAAGACAAACGTTTTATATGGCCCTTGGCAGGTATCCTAAATATAGATCTGTTCACAAATTTCCAAACTAATGTAATTAGTTCTAGGAGCTTAGAAGTGTTGAAACTTCATCATTTGGAAGAAAAAATAAGGAACTATTTTTCTTAGAGAAACTATTCAGGAGAATGAATATATATATGTATATGAATATATATTTGTTCTCTTGAATGATAAAATCCTCTGGTATTTCAAATCATATAGCTAAAGTATTCAAGTACAGCAAAGCATGGGGTTGTAGTTTTCACTACACTCCTCTGAATTGGCAAGTAACACAAGTAAAGCCAAAAGAGTCCCTAAGCTTATTTCTCTGATTGCTAACTACTGTGATTTGTTTCTTCTTCTAATATCCAAGAGTCAAATGAGATGGAGGAAGAATGCTTATCTGCCTTGGAGCTCAATAATGTCTTAGGTTAAAAAACCCCACACTTGTTGGAGACTCCTTAACAGTTACTGTGATCAAATTAGCTGTCACATCTGTGACAAAAACATGTTCAATAAGACTCCGGGTAGGTTTCCAGTCCTGGCTAGTCTGGATAGAGAGAGACGTATTCTGGTCTCCTCCAGGAAAAGAAGCAGAATCTCTGTCAGAATCAGAACTAGTCTCCTCTTCTCCGGTGCTCCCTTCTGACATGCCTGAAGTCTTGTCTTTTGTGGGACATACCTGGGCACAGGTGGTATTACTCTTGGTGGCCCCATCTCTCTCACTAATAGATGCTCTTTGTGCCGGTTTCTCACCTTTGCAAGGATCTGCATCTGTTGATGTTGCCCCTGTGTTGGCAATGTTCTGGCCACTCCCAGGCCCGCTGCCCTTGGATACATTTGTCTTTGTTGCTAAACTGTTGCCACTGCCTTTGCCAACTGCCCCGCAGCCATGGTGAGAAATGTGGTTACCGCTGGTGGAGTTTGGCCCATTCTTCACACTTTGCAGATTTAAAGCTTGTAGGTTGAGCTCTTGGTTGCAAGCTGGCTGGGTGCTGGGAGAGCCAGAAGGAACTTTGTTGCCATTGTGCAAATTTCCTGTCTTTTGTTCCCCCAAGGAATTGCCACTCGGTCTCTTGGTCACTTTGGATCCTTGCACAGTCAATTCCAAGTTTCCGGAACCCTTCTGGTTTTTTAGTTTTAAATCCAAACCTAGGTTGCTCTTGCAGGACATAGCTGACTTCAGAGTCAGTCGTCCCACTGCAGAGGCGTCTGCAGAGCTCTGGTTCTGTGACATCCTACTCATATAATGGACAATGGAGCTTTGCCAGCTGATACCGCAATTTGGGCTTCCAACTGTAGAATTCTTCACTATGCTGGAGAGGTTATCATTGGAGGATGCTCCAGAACAAAAGCCACCAAAGGCACCTTGTGCTTCCTTCATGTGGGATTTAAGCATGGCAATGCCAGAACTTTGAGCATTGTGTTGTGGCTGCATCTTGCTTGCCAATTTGGCCCCCCCTCCCCCTCCTACCTCCTTTCTATTTGTTTTAAGCACCTTGGTTAGGTTGACTGTCCTCTTGGCTGCCTTCTGCTCAGGAGGCAGTGGCTTCCGCCCACGTTTCTTCCTAGCTGAGTCCTTGTTTTCAGGTTTGGCAACTAAAATCTGAGCTTTCTTTTGAGGCACTGGGTGACTCTCCCTGTTCCGCTGACTTCTCTTTGTCTCAAGGTCACTTTCCTCCTCTTCATCAGAAGAGGAAGTTGAAGAGGAGGTGGAGGATGAAGAGCTGCTGGATTTGCTCCTGGATGGGGCTTCAGGTTCCTTTAAATAGGAGACAGAGCAGAATGACAGCAACATGAATATGACCCACTTACTCAATAATCTTGCCGAAATTCTATTTTCTTAAATAAAGTTTACACAATCAATTTTCTGGATAACCATTTACTTTTCAGAGCCAACAGAATTTGCTTTTATAATTTGCTTATTATATTTCAATATGTAAAAGTTTCTTGCTACAGACAGATTTGTATTTTCCTAATTAAAATTAGATGTTGCCAATGATGAATAATTATTGATTCCAAGTAATAGGAATCAACAAGACTATACAAGAGATTACCAGGCACCATAGCAGGTGAAGTCCAGCTATCTACAAGTAAGAATGCCCCCATGACTGTAATTTCAATGGGTCCTATAAATCACCATTACTTACAACATTTTTTCTTGGTCTGCCTCTGGGTCGTTTGCCTCTTTTCCGATTTTGTACCTCTTTTTCATGTTCCCTGGGAAGACAGAAAGTTATCCTCTTACTTTTCTTTTTCAGCAGAAGATGCCTATTTTTGTTTTCAGACAATTTCACTATAAATTTCACAGGAATCTTGTGATCCATCCAGAGTGAAATCTTTGTCACTACGTATGAATATGGATTACCAGCACAACACAAATTTGCTTGTTTCTTAATATAAGAGTATGCTGTATCATATATCACCAGAGCTGAGTTGATAGAAGTTGGTCACTGCTTTTCCTTCATTATACTTTAATGGATCATTCTGTTGTAGTGAAGACTAGGTTCAATGAATTCTTCTCGATTATGCTGAAATATTTTGTCATATCCTCCAAGTTTTTTTGTATACAGAAATCAATTATTCTGTTTTGCTGCCTTGAAAAGTATATTTCTAATATGAATAGCAAATTTTAAATGTATGAATGATTATTCTCTTTAGAAAAATTGTTAAGATAAAATGTCAAGGCTGCTAACATCAGATGTTCTTGCTTGACAATATATGAAGAAGCAAACATGTTTTATTTAACCTGTGTATCACTTGTAGAGTTAAAGTCAGACAATGTTAGAAGAGAGGGGGGAAAGTATGTACTTGGGGGATAGTTAGCCATAACAATATTTCAGTACAGTATTTCCAAAGTCAGTTGTAACCAGAGGAGTTATGGGAGGGAAAGTTCACAGTTCAAACTAATTGGTTATGGGTGTTTGGGGGAGGGAGAATTCAGTTTTTGGCTTCATTATGTACATGCAGAAGCTATGTAGCAATAAAAGGATTCTTTAAGGTAAACAAGGCCTCAAAGTTCTTTGAAAAGGTTCTTCTTTCGGAACCATGACAACTGACTTTAAAAACCTGACACTGACATTTTAACCAGTGAAACACTTGATTATGTTTAATTTTTGTTTCTATGCATTTTGTACATTTTCAAAGAACACTGATTTATTTATGTTAAGATTAATGGAGAAAATGAATTTTGGGGAAAAAATTTTACAAGCTCTTGATGTTATTTATCAAAAGCAAACGGCACAACTTATAGTTAATGGGGGTTTGTCAGAGCTGTTTACAATAGAGAAGGGGACTAGACAGGGCTGTCCATTGTCACCATTGCTGTTTGTTTTAACTTTGGAAATACTGTTGATTAAAATTTGAGAATCACAGCAAATAAAAGGAATAGAAGTTAATAAAAAAGAATATAAATTAAGGGCTTTCGCAGATGACTTGGTGGTTACCTTATCTCAACCTACTTATTCTGTAATAGAGTTATTACAATTGATACATCAGTATGGACAGGTTTCGGGTTTTAAAATTAATAACAATAAGACTAAAATATTGCCTAAAAATATGACTAATCTGGATAAGCAGACTTTGGTTAAGCTGACAGATTTTGAGGTTGTCAATAAGGTAAAATATTTGGGGGTTATTTTATCTGTTTCTAATGCAAAATTGTACAAAAATAACTATGAAAGGCTGTGGGTCAATATACAAAGAGATTTGGAAAATTGGGAGAAGTTGCAATTATCTCTTTTGGGAAGAATTGCGGCAATCAAAATGAATGTTTTGCCAAAGTTTCTTTTTTTATTTCAAATGATACCTATTTTAAAGAATGAGGTTAATTTAAATGAATGGCAGAAAGGTATTAACAAATTTATCTGGACAGGGAAAAAACCAAGAGTAAAACTTAAAATTATACAGGATATTCGTGAGAGAGATGGACTCAAGGTACCAAATTTGAAATTGTATTATGATGCTGTGGTTTTAACATTAATAAGTGATTGGGTTAATTTAACAAATGTAGAAATACTCCTCTTAGAGGGTTGGGATTTACTTTTTGGATGGCATGCCTATTTAATTTTTAATAAAAAGGTTGATAGGGTCTTTAAATCTCATAAGGATTTCTTTACTTCGGGTTTGGAGGAAATATTATAGAAGTGATTTTAAAATTCCACTATGGCACAGGTCGGCAACCTGCGGCTCTGGAGCCGCATGCGGCTCTTTGAGCCTTCCCCTGTGGCTCCCAGCCTCCTCTGCCTTTGCAGAGAGAAACAGAGAGAGGCAATTGCGCTTCCCTGCTTCTCTCTCTCTATCTCTCTCTCTCTCTGTGTGTGTGCGTTTGTGTTTGTGTGTGTGTATGTGTAAAAGAGAGTGCACTCACAGTGTTCTCCGAGGAGCTGAAAAGCTTACTGGACGGAGCTCCTCCCTTTGCTGCGTCTCTGCAGGAAGCAGGAAGGGCAGGAGAGAGCTAGCTAGCCCAGCTAGGCTGACTCAGGAATTCTGGGAGTTGAAGTCCATGAGTCATAAAAGAGACGAGGTTGCCCACCCCTAGCTTGTTGGACAACAGTTTGAAGCTTGCCAGGTGAGCAGCAGATAGGAGGGGGGGGGAGAAAGAGAGAGGGAGGGAGAGAGAGAGGAAAGAGAGAGAGAAAGAAAGAGAGTGGGGGAAGAGGAGTGGCAGACCAAGGTCAGATAGGGAGGGAGGGAGAGAGACAGAGAGAGAGAGAGACCCTTTTGACATCTAAAATGAAGATAACACTGCATATATCCTTTTTTTACCTTTGTGTGTATGTAATTTTATTCTCTTAAAGCATTCTCTTGGTGATCATTGTTTTAATGGTATGGATATTCCCAAGAGTCATATTTTTACTTTTATTTTTAATGTTTTGCGGCTCCCGGTGTTTTGTTTTTGGTGGGAAACAGGTCCAAGTGGCTCTTTGAGTGTTTTGGGTTGCCTACCCCTGCACTATGGGCTATACCTGGGCATGTGATAGAAGGGATAAGGAGAGGAGTCAAGATGGATAGCGTTTCTTATGCACAACTACTTAGATGGAATGGTAAAAATTGGCAATTAAAATCTTTGGAAGATTTAATACAAGAAAATATTATTTACTCATGGTTTCATTATAGACAAATAGTGGAGAGGTGGAAGATAGATCGTAATGTGGGTTTGCTTAGAGAAGATGAGAATTTATTAAAACAAATAAAAGATCAAAGACAAACCCATATTAAGAGAATTTATGGGGTGTTAGTAGAATTGGATTCAGAAGTAGAATTAGTTAAAGAATGTATGGTCAAATGGGCACAAAATTTTGATGAACCTGTTCTATTAGATACTTGGGAAATTATTTGGGTGAGGAATGTTAAATTTACACAAGCCCAAAATTTAAGGGAAAATTTTTACAAAATGTTTCATAGATGGCACCTTGATCCACAAAAAATGTTTCGTATGTATCCTGACTTACAGCCTAAATGTTGGAGATGTGGATGTTTGGATGCTACTTATTATCATATCTGGTGGTCATGCAAAAATATAAAAGCTTTTTGGATTAAGATATGGTGGAATATTCAAAGAATTTTTAGAAGAAGGGTAAAATTTACCCCACAACTGTTTTTGTTAGGTATTGTTTCTGATTGTGATACTAAGGAGACTATATTGATGTTAAATTTAATCACAGCGGCAAGATTGTTAGTAGGGCAATGTTGGAAGAAGGAATCTTTGCCTACCTTGCAAGAGTGGTTTTTTAAAGTTTCTTATTTGGCGGAAATGGCAAAGATTTCAGCTTTCTTGAAAGACCAATCGCAAGAGAAGTATTTTTTGGTATGGAAAAAATAGATAGACTTTATACAATATAAGTTGGATATAAAAAAATATTATCTAGCTTTTCAATAACTTATACTTAAAATTTAAGATATTTTATAGACTTTTTTCCTTTTTCTTTCTTCCTATTTCCTCGTATTTCCTTGTATTTTTGTTTTTTTATACATATATTATTGTTAACTAGTTTACAATTTGTTTAATTAATGTATTTAGATTTGTTTATGGTTTATATTTGTTTTAAGACTTTTTGAAAAAAATATTAATTAAGCCTGTATTCAGCTCTGGGAAGGTCGGGGGAGGGCATGGGAGGGTTGGGGGGGGGGCTTGGGGAAGGGAACCGTATTGTTTTGTAAAATTTAAAAATTTTCAATAAAAAAAAAGAACACTGATTTAAGTATACAAATAAAAAAAACATATTACATATCAAATATATACACAACATATGCAGAAAGATACGATCAAAAGTAATGGTGATTTTACTTAGATGCAAAACAGAGACAATCCAATAAACAAAAATCTATTAAAAGAATTCAATGTGGAAAATTGCTATAGAAGTCCAGTAACTGCGCTAGATTTCAAAAAATCAATGTTTCCAAACAGGAAGATCAATTCTATCCAGAATATTTGGGATTACCCAAAACCACATTAGAAGCTCAGCTTGCATCTCTACAGCAAGCAAAAACATAAATATAACTAATCCAGAGGTATTGAAGAAATGGTAAAAAGAAAATGGAAATTTAACATATGCTTGCATAAGCCAATATATTCACTGGATTACAAAGAATTATTAGGGAAAGATAAGGACTTTGCAGAGTCACTTAATGATACTTTGCACCTCTCTTTGTTATGGAAGTAGATTGGATATACCTGCCAGTAGTTATATTTTCAAGTTGGGAATCCAGGGAAGAACTATTAGAAAATATTACAGAAATAAAATTTGAAAGTACTGGTGTTATAACAGAAATATTAAAATACTTTATAGTATCTTTAGCAGAGATTTCCAAAGCGGTCAATGCAATATTCATATTAAGAAGTGCTGCAGAGAAAAAGGCTAAATAAAATGTAATACCTATTTAGAATAAATCATTAGAAAAAATATTTCAAATATTTGGGACTTTTAAAAAGTTATTTTGAGAGTTTACAGGCAATATTTAGGTGTAGTGAATGATGTGATATTGAGTAATTAACTCTTTGTATGAAGTGCACCGGTGGATACAGCTGATCCAACAGATACTGTTTACTTGAGCTATCAAAATATATTTGACGAAGTCCCTTATGAAAGATTCCCAAGAAAATATATCAGCTGCTGGAGGTAAAGAGTAGTCCCTCTTTGGTAACCTCTGGGAAAATGATGCTGGACAAGACTGGATTGTTTAACCTACTACAGCTTCCTTACATTGTTAAGCCTAAA